CTTCAGCAGATCCCAAGCAATATGGATGTGGATGAAAGTCTGGTCTTTGGGAGAGATGGACCTAGATTTTGTGTTTTCCATTTAAACAGCTATGGGATCCTGGGTAAATTACTTTCCTGTGTCTCATTTTCCACACATGTAAAATCAGATCATCAAAGAAAGATGAGAGCCCCACAGGAGAATATGCATTAAATAGCATAGTCTGTGTCATAGAGAAATGCTTAATATCTGGTATTCATTTTTAAGGTCAAATCCATTGTCTACATTTGGAGGTAGATCTCTAGGCAGCCCTGGTAAGAAGTGGATAGTAATTCCCTAATTACCTGTGACTTTCTGCTCTGTTGCAGCCCCCCATGGGTGAAGAAGGCAACCACAAGCGACACCCAGTGGTAGCAGGAGGTGGCAGCGGTGAGGGCAGGAAGCGGTGCCCCTCCCAGTCTTCCAGCAGGCCTGCCACCATGATCAACCAACCCCCTACACCACCTACTGGCCAGCCCATCCGGGAAGATGCCAAATGGACAAGCCAGCACTCGGATACACAGACTTTGGGAAAGTGAAAAGCCCTTTAGCCCTGGGGTTTAGAGTGGGGAAGGGGTGGGGTGGTCGAGGGTCCATGGGGGTGCCCAGTCCCAGGAGAGGGGACAAAGAAGGGACTGGCCTGGAATTAATAGAGCAGGCCTCTGTGCTGAGTAGCAGTGTGTACACCATTTGGGCTATTAGAGGTACCCTGGGCAGAGCCTCCACATAACTCCCTTCTCCTCTCTCCATGACTCTTCCATCCCAGCTTCTTCTAAGGGGGGAGGGAAAGGGGGGAGATTTTTTTATATATATATACATATATATATATATATATCAAGTTTTAAATTATTGATAGTTTGTCTGGATTACCAAAATCACTCTTCAGCCCTGCCCTTGGCTGATATGCCGCAACCCTGATCCCCACCCACAGCCTCTTCTTGCTCCCCCCCAAGCCAACTATGCAGCCCACCAGAAGGCCCTGTGGGCCCTGTTGCCCAGCACTGTCCCGTGGAAGGCTCTGACAGCGCCTGGGCCCCAGGAGCACTAGCCCCTGCCTATGTGGGGTTTGCCATCACCGTGTTCTCTCCCTGCTGTCCCTACCATGCCCTTCTGCCATCTTCTGGGAGAAGGAAACCAAAGGATCTAAAAGTGGGGGTTGGGGGAGGTTTCAGCCTCTCCCACTCCCCTTTCCCCACACCCCTTACTCCCCAGCCCAGAGAGACGCTGCTCATACCAGAAAAGACTATTGAAAGATGATTTATTTTATTTTTCTCTGACCTTTCCATCCTTGGAAAAACGGAAAAAAGAAAAAAAAAAAAAGACAAAATAGACCATAAAAAAAAAAAACCAAAAAAAAAGAAAAAAGAAAAAAAATCAGAAAACCCCCACCTAATCCATAGAAAGTGATGTCTTTCCCCTCTCCTTGGAATTTTTTTTGTTTGTTTGTTTTGTTCTTGGAAATAATATTTTTTTAAAAGTTGCCTTATTGTGGAGCGGGAATCTGAAATAATACCCAAATGCCTGTTTTCCTCGGTGGAGTCAACCTGAAGAGCTCCCACCTTCTCTGGATGTGCCTGGGCTTGGACTGGCTGGATCTTTCTCTGGACTGAGTTGCATGTACAGTGCCTCCTGCCTGGAGGCAAGAGAGTTGGGGGCGGCTGTCAGAGCCGTGCCCAAAATATCCCTGCTGTTGCATCGTTGAAGCTGACGTCCTGTGTCTGTACACTGCTGCCACTTTCGTGTCCTTGCTCTGCTTGCTGTTGCCTCACGCCAGGCCCCGTCCTGCCGTGACACCCTTCATCCTACCCTTGGAATCCCAAGGCCAAGTTTGCTTCAAACTGTTGGAAAACAGAGTTGGCCTGGATCTCGAACACACTTGTCCTCAGCCCGAGCGTCTTCCCCATGCCAGAGGGGAAAGGGGAACACCTGGTAGCTGAGGCTTGGATATGTTTCTCACATTGTCCTGAAAGATCACCGAGACCTCAAGGAAGCTTTATGTCTCGTGAAAGGTGGAGAAAGGTGCCGTTCTTTTCCGAGGGTCTGGTGGGGTCTCCCCATCTTGCATCCCCCCCCCTCTGCAAGCCATCTCTGCCCACCCTCTCTCTGATCAACCCCAACTGGGAACGAGACCCCGCCTGGGAACGAGGGATGAGGAGGAATTGGGGGCTGGGGGGAATCCTGCCAGTTGGTGAAGCCCTGTGGCAGGAAGGTATATGTGGACATAGAGTATACCTAACTTCTCTTCTCCAGCCACTGACTGCTTGAGTTGGGCTGTGAATGACAATGGAATGGCTGGAGTCTACTGTCGTCAGAAGCTAGGGAGGGTGACCGACTGACCCGCACAGACTGGGATGTGTGTCAAGTACGGGCATGACTGCATGTTCACCCCCAATGGGAACTGGGCAACACGGAAAAGTTTGCAGTCTTGTTGCTCAATTACTGAAACTTCTTTGGCCCTCCTTTTCAACAGGTTTCTCTGTTGGCCCAAAGGTTGGGAATAGGAGACAGTATCCCAGGCTGACAGGGGCTCACTTGCCCTCTGTCTTTGGGTACCTCATTGCTTTTAGTTTGTGTGCCCCCTCACCTCTGTCATCCCAGTGCTTAGTATGTGGGAAGCCCATCTCACTTCCTGTGACCCAGTCGTCTTGAACCAAGGATGAATGTCTGGTCTCTGCTATGACAATGGGATCTGAGGCCTCTCCCTAACCAGTCTGGTGTGCCTGCCCCACATTGTCCCAGACACTGGACTCCTGGACCTCCTTCTCCCTCCCTTTCCCCCTTTTTTTCCTTTGGGTCACTCAGCCCTGTATTGTATCCAGCACCACAAAAACCTCAGTGTTTGACCCTTGCTGGGTTTGGGGACACAAGGAAGCCTTGGAGGTGGGAAAAGGCTGCTCTCGTCTAGTTACTCCCAGGCCAGGGGCTGCCATCCTCTCCCTGATCCTCTCAGATATCCCTGAAGGAGGAAGCACCTTTGGGGTGAATAAGTGAGAACTTCATCTCAACATAGGCTGAGGAGGGGTGAGGGGCTATTTTCTTTCTTTCTTTTTTTTCTTTTTTTTTTTTTTTTTGTAACATGTTAGGAGTTAATGTTGCAAAGAGTAGTTTACATCTTCACTTTCTGAAGACACTTGAATTTAGGACCGATGTATCTGTGACAAGTATGAGTGGCAGGGGCCATCAGGACTAGCCACTTCACATCCACCACCTTCCCATGGGAATCTTAAGACCTGAGACACAAAGCAACAGCCTGCCCCAACCCCCTGTTTATTCTCTGCCCTTCTAAGGTTGGTCCACGCCAGAATGACCTGTAGGTGTCAAACAGAAGGTCTGTGTGTGCCTAAGCCCTGATGAGGGACAGGTTTTTCTTGTGCCCTCTCCAGAACCTGAGACACATGCACTATCAGTAGAGAAGGCTACCCAGTCCTGCCTCAGCCTGGACCCCTAGGGCTCAGAACGACAGCAAGAGGCACTGAGCCCCCATGTCAAAGTTAAATGTTTTTGTTTCATTGTAGCTCTTTTTCCCCACCTTTTCTGATGATTGATTACAAAAGAAAGTAAAGCTGCTCAGGAGGCTCTGGAAGTGAGGTGGAGGAAACAAGAAGACTAGCCTTTGGGAGAGCTAGGGGTGTTTTGCCAAAAGCCTGGGTAGAGTGGTCTGGATCATCTGGCACCCTCCCAAATGGGAACCTCAAAGTACCTCTTGTGTGGAAGGGTTCCTGGATTCTCCCCAGCCCCACCCTCTCCTTCAGCCATGTTGATGGCAGAGGCAGAGAACATAAGAACTTACAGCCCAATTCTCACTGGAGAGGAAAACTTGTCATCTGGCTTTGCGAAGAAGGTTCCACCTTACGCTCGTAGTACATTATCTTTACCATGTGCTAGGATATCACATTTAAAAGGACAAAAAAAAAAAAATGTAAAATACTTGAATGAGCTTGTATTATAACATTAATATTATTGAGAGTATCTGCTTTCCAGGCTGAAGTGATTCATTCATTATTCTAGTCCTGCTTTAGTCCTTTGTAATTTGTGGTAATTATGCTTTTCTTTTTAATACAAAAAAAAATGTATAAAAATAAAAATTTGAAAAGGCAAAATACTGGCTTGTCTCCCATCTGGGGTGCTGCTATTGGGTGTGAGATAGAGCCCAGTTAGGGTTCCCCAGAGCCAGAGGAAACTTGCGCTGCATCTGAGTGGCACCTGCAAGGGCATTATCAGTGGACTTTGGGGGAGTCTGCTGAAGGCAGGGCCTCCATTGGGCTGCCAGTGCATCGAGGTGGCTTCCTCAATGGTCTTTAGAGCCTTTTTTTTTTTTTTATATATATACCAGCTTTAAATCCATGTCTTAAGTGAGAGTTGGGGGACATAGACTGCCAGATGTGAGTGGGAGCCTACTTGGTGGCACTTGGGCTCCATCCGCTGCCTGGGCTTGGTCTTGTCATCAAAGATAGCCAAGAAGAAAAAGTTAGTGTCCCTTGTAGAGTGTTGGCACAGCTCCTCCCTGAAGAGACTCATGTGAGTGAAGAAGTAACGGTTCAGTAATCATACCTTGTGGAACCTGTGTCGTACAGGGATCCCTGAGACGGGGATGGAACAGTGAGCCCCACTCTGCAGAGAAAAAAGTGAGTCATAGCCTCACGTGGTCATCTGACCATTTTCTGTCTCCCATACATGGTGCAGTCCCTAGCAAATGGTCTTCTAGAGTTGATTTTTTTCCCCCCACTAGTCTTTGATGGGCACTTAACTTCAGTACCACCCAGGACCTCTACTGGCCAAAGGAAGCTTAGAAGTGGCCAGGGTTCTGTGGATTGGTACTTTGGGAACAGGGAGATGTATTAGTTCATCCTCACTTCCACACATTCCTGTCAGGAATGGTCATCAAAGAGGCTACTGATTGCACTGTCTTAGCTCCCAAATGTCATGATCATGAGCATTAGAACAAGTCTTATAGGAGGAAAAAAAAAAAAAAAAACAAAGTATCAGGAATAAATGGAAGCAGGTTTATTTTAAATGCTTTTTCTTCACATTTTCTGCTGGGACTTTAAGGCTTTTTTCTTTTTTCCCCCAGTCTTATTTACCAACCTCAGGGCCATTCTATTTGAGAAAAGGATAAGTGTAGGTGCCAAACAATGGCAGCCAGGACAATAACAGCCTCTTGTCCCTCTATGCCTTTTGTACAGCACCTTGAAATCTAAAGCAATTCTCATATAGTCTCCTCATCCCCCATCCTCTCAAGTGTACTAAGGGACTTGTTTCCAGATGCTTGCTTGTAGGTGGGTGCAGGCCAGCAGCTGGGAGAACTTAACAGTTGGATACACTAGACAGGACTGGGCCCATAAGGCCAGAGAGGGCAGGGGGGCTTGGAAGGCCAGGGAAGGTGCTGCCTGCTGAGTGTTGACTTGGCCTACTGGGCAAGTCCTCTGTGGTCCTGGTGCTCAGGAGGAAGTAGTTTGGGGTAGTCTTGCTTGGAGGCTTGGCCCTGTGTGATCTTCCTTGTCTCCAAAGAGATGGGGGCTCACTGTTGCAAAGAGACTGGCCCCTCCTGCCTCAGCTCCCAGGTAGCTGGGTCTACAGGTCTGTACCAGCTATGTTAAGGTTTTTGTAAAACCACAATAGGTTATTTTCCATATATATATATACACATACATACATACATATACTTTTTCCTGGTACTAAGGATTGAACCCAGAGGTACCTTTACCACTGAGCTCTGTCCCCAGCCCTTGTACTTTTTTGAGGCAGGGTCATGCTAAGTTGTCCAGGCTGGCTTTGAACTAGTGATCCTTCTGCCTTGGTCACATGATTACAGCTGTGTGCACCATCTCACCTGGTCACAGTAGGTGGTTTTCTTGGCCCAAAAGAACTGAAAGTCAGTAATAGGCAGAAGTACACATACAAGAATTTAGTAAATGAACTAGATGTGGTGGCACTTGCCTCTATAATCTCAGTGACTCTAGGTTGATGGTAAGAGTCTCACCAGGTCAAGGTCAGTCTGGGCAATATTTTCTATTTTCAAAATAGAAAAATAAAAGGGGCTGGGGATGTAGCTTAGTGGTAGAGCACCCCTGGGTTCAATCCCCAGTAGGGTGGGGGTAAATGATAATAGTAGTAATGGTGGCCTTATCAAAGAGTAGTCTGAATTTTGGGGAGCTACAAGGTTCAAGAGCATGTTGCTCCTAAGGGGAGGTAAGGGAGGTGATTGTTTCAAACCCAGATAGCCCTGTGGCTTTGTTTCAGATAAAAAGGGTCCTGGTTAGATTTCATTTGAAAAATGTATCTGCTAAAACCCAGTCAAATAATCCCTGTTAAGAAAACTGGTTAACCATTTCAAGAGAAAAAGAGTTTTGCCCTTTGGCCATTTTTTTCTGGACTCCTCAGGTATCCCCAAAGGATTGTGACCCTGATCCTTCTGGGTGTAGCCTGTGCTTCCTTGTTATCAGTTGATCAGGGAGGAGCACCTGTGGGTGTTTATGTGTAGTGAGGCAGAGTTGAAATGGGACCTGTGTGTGTGTGTGATGGGAGTGGGTGGAATGGGGACTGGCACATGGCATGTGAAAATCAGACCTGTAACTATTTGCCAGGGACAACTGGCCCTGGCCTGACTAAGGTATGGAAAAGCCCAAAAGGGTAGGAAGAAGCAAAGTGATAGATCTGATTCCCCCACTCCTTGACACCAGAAAGAGCTCTCCCTGGGGCCCAAATTGCCTTAGTCCTACTTCCCTCTCCATCATTCTCTGCATCTTACCTAGGCCACAAGACAGTGGGAAGGGGATGACCTTCCTCCATCCCACAGCAGAGGACCAGAGGGCCTGGCCAGAGCCCTCTTAAAGTGGTTTCCTCCTCTGACTGGCCTCCAGTCTGGGGAAACTTTTTTCCCCTTTTTCTTAAGCTAACTCCTGGTCCCATGAAGGGACAAGGACAGAAGTTTGGGGGAAGCCCTGGCCCTATCCTTGGCCCTGCTTTTCTAGGAAGCCAGCCTCTCCTCTGCCCTAATGGTGCCATCATTAGAGTGTGTGGCTGAAGGAGGCAAGTTGTTAGGTGCAATCATGAGGCCTTGGTGTCTTGGAATCCCACTCTTGGGATAGGACTGGCAAGGGCCCTTTCACTCCATCTTCTTTGGGGAGTCGGGGATGCTCTCCGAGAGTGGGGTGAAGCCCAGCAGCAGGATGTGCCTCTCATAGGCCTTGGTCTGCTTAAACATGGTGTCGGTCCCATGGAGGTGGTCCAGCACCCCCAATACGCCATAGCATTGGTTGAACCTAGAGGAGAGGAGGGTACTGCAGTGCTGGATGGAGGACCATTTGTGGATCTCTCTGTCCTTCATGCTGGCCTCCTATCCACACCTATCACCACCATCCTGACCACATCCATCAGAACAACCTGGAGAGATCCTATGAGCATATATAAGGGGCCACTCCAGACCTACAAAATCTGGAGCTGCATCCCCATCTCCCTGCCCGCCTTTTTTGAGATAGGATTTTGGTAAGTTGCTGAGGCTGGCCTTGAACTTGCAGTTCTCCTGCCTCCCCCCTCCAGAATCACTGGGATGACAGGCATGTGCCACCACACCCAGCTTGGAGTCTTCCCTTGGAAACCTCACCATGTGATTCTGATGCGCATGTGCTTAAGAACCTGACAGGACTATGCTTGCTCAGATATGGTCCAGGGGCCACCTGCTTCAGAACCTCTTGCCACATGTTAAAATGCAGGTTTCTAGGCTGTGCTCCTGCAAATATTTTGATTTGAGATACGGAGTGGAACCCAAGAGCCCACATTTTAAACAAACATTTCATGTGACTCTAGGAAGTACAGAGACCACACTTGAAAAAATCCTGGGGGCTTTCAGAAAACACAACTTCCCTGGAAATGCGTGCAAGATTTTCCTGCACACACACATTTTTCTGAAGACTGTCCATAACTACATTAGAGACTCAAAAGGTTAAATTCCCAGCGACAGAAGAGCCCAATGTCAGAAAGAAGGAAAAGGTCAAGATGGTCATTTTCCCGCCTCCAAACCTCTCTCCCCACTAGCACCCACACAGTGTGCTGAGAGGCTTGAAGAGTGTGGGTGGTGGTTGTTGGTCAAGGACCCCTGTGGGGAGGAGGGCCTTACTTGAGATGGTGGTAGTCATGGAATTCAGGCGAAGGCAGGAAGGGTAGGTGGTAGCCACAGTGGGAGATGGTGGTGATGATGAGGGCCAAGGAAAACCACACCGTGATGGAGGACAAATGGGAGCCCATCACAAAGGGGCCTGCGATCACTGGCAGCATGTTGGAGGCCTGGAAGAGGAAGGATGATTGGATGCAGGCCTAGGAGAGGGAGGGGACCCAGGTGGGTGTCCACTTTGCCCCAAGGTGGTACCAGGAGAAGACTTGCTTGACTCAGACCTGGAGAAGATGGAAGTATCAGGACCTTGTTTTGTTGGAGACATTCACCTTTGTACCTTGGAACATGTTATTAATTATTTGAGTCCCAGCTTCCTCATCAGCAAAATCAGGATTACAGTGGTTGTTGGGCGAATTAAGGGATTCAGCTTGTGAGGCTCCTAATATAGTCTGGCACAAGGCAGGTTGACAATAAATGGCAACTAATTAATTGGAAGAAGAAAGGCCTTATGTGGCCTGATTCTCTGCAGGAGCCCTTAGGGAAGATGGTTGGGACCACCACTCTTCTCTGGAGATCCCGGGGCTGTACTCACCACATGCTCTACAGGGTGGGCATAGAGAGAGGTCACCCCAATGGGGGCTGTCCACTCGTGGTGTTTCTTGTGAATTCTCTTGTAGAATGTTGGGTGGTGAAGGAGCCTGGGAAAATAATTAGTACTTAATAATCTGCCAATTCTCCTTTCTCCTTTCTCCCTCCCTACCATCAGAAGTCAATGGTAGGGACTAGGGGTGACATCTGTGGAGTCAAGTGGAAAACACTGATTGCACTCCTCTAGGTCTGACCCCACTCCTGAGGCTGTGTGCTCAGGGAATGGGTTACTTGGTCTCTCTCACATTCGAATTAGCTGTGAAATAAGGGTGCTGCCCAGAAAGGATTCAATAAGGCAATGAATGGGAGACCGCCCACCCCCCATACAAATGGAAAAGCTCTTTCTTGGCTGGACATTCCTCAGTGGCTTGAAGCCATCAGTTATGGGAAAAATACTTGTCTCCCTGCCACCCACTAGCGGGAGACTTGAGATCAGAGGGTGTTGGTCCCACACTAACAGAAGCTTCAGTGCAGAGCCACAGGTAGGATGGGGGTGAGCTGTGCTCAGGCAGAGCCCCTGCTCACCGGTGTGAATAGTAGAACAAGACTTCCTCAATCAGGGTGAAGATGGTCAGCTCCAGAAGAAACAAGTGGAAGGTAGGCAGCTCTCGGCCGCAGGGGTCTCCCCGCCACTTGAGGAGGGGAAAGAAGAAGACTGCCATAGGGAGAGTGATCACGAACTGGTTGAAAAGAACTGTGCGCACAGCCTGGCGGAGTTTCGTGGGGTCTACCTATTGAGGGAAGGAAGTGTGAGAAGTAGGTCTTTCCCGTCTGGAAAAGTGGCTCCACTGTGACCTGCTCACAGGAGCCTGTAACTCAGAGATAAATTTGGGGTGATGTCTGGGCATAGCTGGAAGCTCCTGCCTGACCCCCAGCCCTGGGACTGGGGACATCGCAGCAGGAAGGCCCTGGCTGTCGGGTGGATGAGTAACACCACTCCCTTGGAGACTGCGCCACGCAGTGTTCAGGCTGCCCAAGACTGCTTCTCCCTTCCTGGTTCTGCAGATAACACCACTGTCCTCTCCATCTCAGGCCAAGCATCATGTCTTCCTGGCAGGCAACCTGAGGAGCCACCAGCATGCTTGGAGAAGGTGCCAAATCCCCTGAGTGGGAGAACCTTGTTAGTGAAGAATGCAGAGACCCGAGTTATCTGCCTCCTGTGTGTCCAGCCTCACTGAACTGGGCCCAGCACAGACAGGAAAAACAAGGCAGGGTTGCTCTTCTAGCCTCTTGACTACCTCCTGGTGGTGGTGATGGGCTGTCAGGAGGGAGGCCTGCCCAAGCGTTTTCACCTGGGCCCACTGTGCACAGCTTACACCCCCCTTTGACCTCAAAATTCACTCATGTTTTATTTCTGTCCCATAATGAGGCCAGACCTGGCCAGCCTCATTTGAGATCACATGTTAGATGAGGCCATGAATGTCTTCTGGAAATCTTGACCGAGAAGAAGGTGCCAATCTTGTCTGTTTGTCCATCCATGCATTCAACTGGTACTTAGTGTTTACTATGTAGTGTTCTAGGTGATGAAAATCATTAAACAACAAAATTCCTGGCTTAATGGATTTATATTCTGGTAGGGAAGACAGGCTTTGCAAATATCAAAATATATATTGGGTGATAAGTGTTTTAGTGACAAGGAAGTTTAAAGGAGAGAAGGAGAGCAGCAGGACCCCCAGGTCAGGGGCGAGGCACCTGTTCACCCTGAATAGACCCGGCAGGGTAGCCTCACTGACATGGTAAGATGTAGACACACAAAAGAAGAGAAGGGACCCGGCCAAACAGACACGTAGGGAAAACGCCTTCAAGCGAAGGCCAGGCTGGTAAGAAGGTCTAGGACAGCCATATTCCTGGCCTGTGTGGCTGGAGAAGAGCAAGGAGGCCGCAGGGTATTTGAGCCTGGAATTCAAGAGAGAGTTCTGTAGGAGCCTCAGTGTACAGGTGGTGTTTAAGGTCATAACACTGAAGAGATAAGGAGGGAATGAAGATAAAGAGGAAAAGAGGATCCAGGCCAGAGCCCTGGGGCAGTCAACTTTAAGAGGTTGGGGAGAAGAGAAGGAACCAGAAGGCGTGACTCTGAAGGAGATAAGGGGAGCGCCTGAGAGTGGGGTGTCCTTGAAGCCAAGGACAAGGGAATGCACAACTGTGGTGATGCATTTCGGGACTTAATGACACAAGCCTGAGCCTGGATCATTGGTGACCTTGCAGAAAGGACTTCTGGTGGAACCCTGTTTGGGGGAGACCACCTATTGGAAGAATGTTTCTAGAGAGGCTGAGCTGATGCTTTTGTGATTATTCCTAGGAGACGTAGGCTGAAGGACTTAGGGATGAAGTCTTACAATGTCCTGAGCTTACCTTCAAACATTTAGGTAAAATATTACACATGCGTATATATTTATACATAAAGCAGAAACTGTAAAATGTTTACAATTGATGAATCTGAATGTATGTAAATGAGTGATTATTGTAAGAACCTTTCAACATTTTTGTGTCTGTGTGTTTGATTTTTTTCATTATAACAAAATTTTGGGGAAAAAGTTGGACGGGGATGATTGGGAACTGGCTACCGTGCTAGTGATTTTGGGGAGGCGGGGTCAAGGATTGCTTTCTTTTTTATCATGGGAAAAATGAAAAATTATAGCCTATTTATAATACAGAGAGGAATAATCTGGGGTTGTGATGGGGTAGAGAGAGAGAGAGAATACAAAAAAAGAGAGATGAGCCAGGTGTGGTGGCACACACCTGGGATCCCAGTGGCTTAGGAAGCTGAGGAAAAAGGATCCCTAGTACAAAGCCAGCCTCAGCAACTTATTGAGGCACGAAGCAACTCAGTGAGACCCTGTCTCTAAATAAAATACAATAAGGGCTGGGGATATGGCTCAGTGGTTAAGTTCCCCTGGATTCAATCCCCAGTACCCACCCCCACCCCCCAAAAAAAAAGAGAGAGAGAAAGGTGACTGGGTATGGTGGCGCACATCCGTAATCCCAGTGGCTTGGGAGTGTGAGGCAGGAGGACTGTGAGTTCAAAGCCAGCCTCAGAAACTTAGTGAGGCTCTGAGTAACTTAGGGTGTCCCTGTCTCAAAATAAAATATTTTTAAAAAGGGGGCTGGGGGGGGGGCTGGGGATGTGGCTCAAGCGGTAGCGTGCTCGCCTGGCATGCGTGCGTCCCGGGTTCGATCCTTAGCACCACATACAAACAAAGATGTTGTGTCTGCCGAAAACTGAAAAATAAATATTGAAATTCTCTCTCTCTCTCTCTCTCTCTCTCTCTCTCTCTCTCTCTTTAAAAAAAAGGAGGGGGCTGGGGATATGGCTTACAGATTAAGCACCCCTGGGTTCAATTCCTGGGACCCCTCCCCCTGCCAAAAAAAAAAAAAGGTGAGAATTGCTGAAATTGCTAAGGCACTTTCCTGGTGCAGACAAGAGGTGATAGGTGCTGCACACAGAGTGCAAGAAACTGCAGGTCAGAACAGGAAGAGTTCACCTGCAGAACCAGGTGGGCAGGCGGAGGACACAGACACTGTTGCCAGGAGGCCCATGAGGTGTCTGCGAAGCTCTCTTGTGCTTTAGTTCTCTGAGTGAAGCAGGGAGCAAGGCCAACCCCAGGGAGGGAGGTTAGTTGGGAAGGCGCTGGTGATTTGAGCTTGCAGGTGTGCCCCAGTCATTCAGGGGAGTGGGACAGTAGCTAGACAGAGATGGACTGTGTGAGTGCCAGGTAGCATTTGGCCCCCGTTTGAGGATCTGCTTCTGATAGTTTCTCCTGGGGTCAGTCCTTTCTGGAGAAAGCCAAAGACTAAATGGTCCTGGGAGGTTCCTTCCTACCTGTGTACCCACCTGGGCTGCACACAGTACAGGAGCACTGAATTTGGAGTCAGCTGGGATGGGCCCTGGCTCTGGGTCCTAGTCACAGACTGATCTTCAGCAAGTCTCTGCACCTTTCTGAATCTTAGCCTCTGCAAAATGCAATGGAACCTCCCTACTATCTCCTCATCATAGACTTTCAGGTTGTACAGAGGTTGGTGATGTTCTTGAGCTGATTTGTTGTTGTTGTTTGGTACTGGGGATTGAACTCAGGGGCACTCGACCACTGAGCCACATCCCAGCCCTATTTTGTATTTTATTTCTCAGGATCTCACTGAGAGACAGGCACTCACTGAGTTGCCTAGTGCCTCGCCATGGCTGAGGCTAGCTTTGAACTCGCAATCCTCCTGTCTCAGCTTCCCAAGCCACTGGGATTACAGGTGTGTGCCATGGTGCCCGGCTTGAGTTGATGTTGACTGGTAGTTAAGAGCATGAGTCCTGGAATCAGGAAGCCCAAGTCTGAATCATGGTTCTACCTATGGAACATTTTAGAGCCTCCGTTTCCTCATCTGAATAGTGATGCTAATTATAGTTCTTGGCCTCGAAGATGTAAGAATTTAGTCAGTGGTGGCTGCTAAAGAGAGCCATCATGCTGGGAGCTGTGGCCCACGCCTGTACACCCAGGGACTTGGGAGGGGCAGGATGATCGCAAGTTCAAAGTCAACCTCAGCAACTTAGTGAAGCCCTAAGCAACTCAGCAAGACCTTCTCTCAAAATAAAAAATAAAGGGCTGGGGACATGGCTCAGCGGTGAAGCGCCCCTGGGTTCAATCCCTGGTACAAAAAAAAAAAAAAAAAGAGAGAGAGAGAGAGAGAGAGATCCATCAATGAAAGATGAATATCAGGCTTTGACTCTCTGGGCTCATGTCCTGCCAGGCTGGACCTGGAGGAAGTCTCCCCGGCTGGCTGGTGGTTGTCATCTCAAGAGAAGGGCAGTGTGTGCCAGGCCAGCAGCTCCCTTTCAGGAAGGGGGCATTCTGAAGGGCTGAGTCAAGAGCACAGTTTACCTGTTCCGCCTTTCTGAAGTGCTAGGCTGGGTCAAAATGCCCTGAGAGCTGGGTGATTCACCCAGGCACCTAGCCACATGATCAAAAGATGATTGTTGTTTTAGCAAGGAAAGCAGCCAGAATGTATTTAGGGTGGAGCTGAGGAAAGAATCTGGGTTTCAGAACCAGGCTTTTTCCTGTTGTGTAAGAGAAGGTTTGTGGAGCTTGTCAGAGCACCAAGCAGGCCAGCCAGGCCCCTGGAGTGGTGGGACTCCCTTCCTGGTGCCAAGCAGGTTGGAGCTCCCCCTAAGCAGGGTCTGGGATGTTGTTCATCATAGATTTTCCCAAGTAACTTGCCCCATTGTTTCAGTTGAATAATTAGGAAGGAGGACCAGCTGAAAATGCAACTATCTCAAGCTGGGTTCTGTGGTCCACCACTGTAATCCCAGCTACTCAGGAGGCTAAGGCAGAAGGATCGCAAGTTCAAGGCCAGCCTGGGCAACTTAGTGAGGCCCCCATCTCAGAATAAAATAAAAAGGGCTAGGGATGTATTTCAGTACTAGAGTGCTATTATTATTAGCACGTAATAAGGCATGGGTAGACTCCCTAGTACCAAAACACAACAACAATACAACTGCCATCTCTGCATTCAGAATCCATACTCCTCTGTTAAGGTGAGATTATTGCTTGTCTTGGTGGCTGTCAGTCTCACTACCCAGTGGCAACCGCACCCTGCTCTCCTTGTCTAGGTTCCCACGACAAAGAGGAGCCATTCAACATCCCTGGCATGGCCCAGTACCAGGCTGAGATGACTACTTTTTTTTTTTTTTTTTTTTTGGTGGTGGTGCTAGGGATTGAACCCAGGGCTTTGTGAAAGTGATACAAGCACTCTACCAACTGAGCTATGTCCCCAGCCCCCTGAGATGATGACTTCTGTCCCTACAATGCCGACTGTAGGGTTGAAGGGCAGCACCCCAGGTACAGAGCCAGGCCTGGGAATCAGGAGACAAGAACACTGGTGTACACTGACCTCTGGCTGAGTGACTCTAAGATTCAGGGCAAATGATTTTCCTCTCCTAATCTAAATTGAGGGAGACTTGTCAATGACTTGTTTGCTCACACTGGCCTTTGTCCCTCTGGGCCGGCAGTAAGAATTCTGAGACTGGCTTTCTGGGCTTTGACCAAGAGAAGTCACAGCAACTCTTACCGGTTCGTTCTTGCCAACCTGAATTCGGTAGCGGGAGATGAAGTTGGGTCTTCCAGTGGTGTCCACCACCAGTAGAAGCCCATTGAAAGCCCAGAAGAGCAGACAAGGCACTTGGGTGGCACCTGCAGTTTGAAAGCAGAAGGGAACAATCAGGGTGGCATCGGGCTTTGCAATACACATATTAACTGAACACAAAAGTTAGGGTGACTGTGCCTGGCTATGGGGGACACCTGGCTGGACACCAAGGGCCCTACTTAGAGTCCTGGTTGAAAAACCAGCTGTGGGACCATGGACAGGTCACTTAAGAAATATCTGTATTTTTTTTTATCTTGGCTGTAAAATGGGGACAACAATCTTTAAGGTTGTTAGATACAGATGTGCTCACACACACACACACACACACACACACATCAAAGGGTGTTCCTGCACATCATATACTCTAACAGAAATGATTTGAAATTGGCCTTTGGGAGGCTGTGCCTACAAAGCCTTTATGAACTAACTGGTGAAGTGCTTGGGTATGGAGGGTTTGCGGTGGGCCCTGGTCTAGGAGTCACCTGGGGAACCTGATCCCTGTTACCTAGCATGGAGGAGTGGGACTTCAGGTGTCATCAGGGCTGCATTTCCTGAAGGGTAGGGCTCTCAACTCTTTCATCAGAGTCTTCATGCCCTACTCTTTTGGAGAACCCTGTCTGGTCCATAAAAGTGTGTTCACGACTCGGAGAATTCCTACAGCAGGAAACCTGTTTGATTTTGTTAATACCAAGCTTTCCCAGCCTTGTTTGACCCTAGAACTGTTTTCTCAGAACATCTAAAAATAGGATGTCACGTGTCCCTGTTTGCACAGGATGATTTCAATTTACAGCTGGCATTGTAGAATAATTATGAATAACACCTCATTTTACCCTCATGAGTTTCCTTAATTGGATAATAAATAGTATATCCTCTTCCACCTATTAACATTCTACAACATTGACATGCTACAGAATATTTCAGAAAATATTCAAAACTTAAAACAGATTTGAGTGGTGCACACCTGTAATCCCAGTGGCTTGGGAGCCTGAGGCAGGAGGATCACAAGATCAAAGCCAGCCTCAGCAATTTAGCGAGGCCCTAAGCAACTTAGTGAGACCCTGTCTTAAAACAAAAAATAAAAAAGGCTGGGGATGTGGCTCCATGGTTAAGTGCCCTGGTGTTCAATCCCTGGTACCAAACAACAACAACAACAAAAAAAAACCTTATATTTTGTTTTTTGTTCCACATCCCACTTTTTCATGAACTCATTCCAAGCATCTGATTTCCCACTGTGAACAAATAGCACTTTGTCCACCCCAGGTGGCAGTTATTCAAGTGATATTACAGGATTGCCTAAATCTTGAACTGCTAGCTTTATTTCTCCATATTTTGCCTCCTCCTCTAGATTCAAAATCCCAGAAGGCAAGGACGTTTCAAGGACAACTTCACTCTGGGTCTCTGCTCCCCTTCCCCCAGCCCCCTCCATCCTCCATCAGTGTCTTGTGGTAGGTAGGACATGGGAGAGACCTGGCCATCACTGTAGGGGCAGATGATTGGTGCAAACCATCTGGAGGGTAATTTGGTAATATCTGAAGTAAAAAAGAAAGTGAGACAGAGACAGAAAGAGAGAAAGAAAGCAAAAACATATAGATTCATATACAAACATGTCCATCACAGCATTTTTTTTAATCATAAGAAAACATTAAAAGCAGACTTAAAGTCTGTTAGTAGGGAATGGCTAATATGTTAGAATCCTTTTATATAATGGAATAGACTGGGCCGCCGAAAATATTGTTTATATTGATTGACATAACAGCCTATTCAATGAAAAAAAAAATGGGTTTTAAAAAAATAGTTGGTGTGCTAATCATGGTGGTACACGTCTGTAATCCCAGCAATTTGGCAGGAGGATCTTAAGTTTGAGGTCAGCCTCAATAACTTAGAAAGACCCTGTCTCAAAATAAAAATAAAAAGGGCTGGAGATATACCTTAGTGGGAAAGCTCCCCTGGGTTAAATTCCCAGTCTATATATACTTGATGTCTGATAGGTATCACTATATATCCAAAGTATTAGAGATGCACACTAATATATTAATAGTGGTTATTACAAGTTGTCTGATTTTTATTTTTAACAATGAACACGTGTATTTTTATACTCAGATATAATAAATAATTTCTTTTTATGCTGGGAAGAAACATGTTGGGTTAGTAGTTACCCAGGGTGTAGGGGTGTGTGTGGGGTGTCCACTAAAGTTCCTACTTGGAATTGTGAAGGTGAGTGGAGGAAGGCAGTATGCAAACCACAATGTAAAATGCCCTTGAACTTTCCAGCAAATGTCTTCTCTCTCTAGTGTTTTTCTTACCTCCCAGATAATAGGTGGTTTATCTGTTTCATATCATTGAAACAGAAGCATATAAAATGATTTCTAGTCACTTTCCCACACATCTGTGATCTGTTGTTCTCTCAGTGATTGCTTAATACCCCACTGAATCTTTTGAGTTTGATCAGAATTCTCCCAGCTGAAAATGATCCCCAGGGACATTGTTTGTACTTTTGCTTTGGGAGAACTGACACTTTGTTTGGTTAACAGTGGGGACTGAACCCAGGGATGCTCTACCACTGAGCTATGTCCCTTTTCATTTTTTGAGACAGGGTCTTGCTAAATTGCCCCGACTGGCCTCAAAATTGCAAAACTTCTTCCTCAGCCTCTGTTATTGGGATTATGGGTGTGCCCCACTGAGCCAGGCTGGGACTGACACCTTTTATCTCCCCTTCTGGACTATGACCTAGTTTTTGAATAGGGTAGGCAAATACTTCATCTGAAATATTTCTATATCTTCATATAAGTTTGGCATATTGTACTATTTTGTTTTGTTTTTTGGTACTGAGGATTGAATCCAGCGACCACTCAACCACTGAGCCACATCCCCAGCCTTTTTTTATATTTTATTTAGAGATGGACTGGCTAAATTGCTTAGGGCCTTTCTAAATTGCTGAGTCTGGCTTTGAACTTGAGATCTTCCTGCCTCAGCCTCCCAAGCAGCTGGGATTACAGGGATGTGCCATCAAGCCTGGCCACATTGTACTATTAATATCATTTGAGTGAATGAATGTGTAATTGAGGATGTTCACTATGATAGGTAATGTTACAAATGTCTAGGTTTAAATGGATTTTTCCTTCCATGATGTTTTCTTAGGCTAGTTTGGAGGCATTTATGCTATCTCTAAATATTATCAAGTGGCCACTTGCTAAGAACTAGATTGTACCAGGTACAGGAGCACAGCTTAAGACAAAATAGTGTAGTTTTCTGCCCTTGTGGAGTTACATGTAGAAGCAGGATTATGGCTCTAAACATGCATTCGTTTTTACATAAAACATTTCTTATTTTTCTATATTTGCAGTAGAGGGTCTTCAACTTTTTTTTTAATAATTTTGACTCCATTTTTAAAAAGTTGTTCTACTTAGTTATACATGGGGTCTTAAACTTCTTAGCTTCTTTTCTTAGATATCCCGTGTCTGTACTGTCCTCAAGCTTAGTACTCTTTTGTAGCACCCTTGTCAAGTCCTCATCCCTGGGAATAAAGAACTAAGAAGTCTCCAAGTAGAGAACAAAAGAAAAAGAGTGAAAGCAGGCTGTGCCCCCTCCCCTAGGCACTGTGGTCTGGAAACCTCACCTATAATGAAGAGGATCCACTCTTTCCCTTCAAAGGTCGACAGCAGTCTCTCCCACTGGGCTTGCCAAAAGTATCCAGAAGCACCCCAAAATCGCTGAAGATGCCTTGGAAGAAAATCCATTAGGTTTCTGGATAAAGACTGATAGGCGGAGAGTTCCTTCCTCCAAGCTCTGCCCCCGACCACACCACAACTGCCCGCAGGTCCTGGATTTGAGCTGGGCCAAGCCGACTTACCATGTGACTGAGTTCCAGAAGGCCACAAACAAGAGAAGACCAGAGCCCAGGATGAAAGCTGTCCTCCTCATGGAGCCCCAAATGTGTCCCTCCTGGAGGAGGACAAAGAAGCCTCAGACCCAGCAAGCCTCCTGCCTTCCCCCAGTTCACTGCTGAGACACAGCTGGGACACCGCGGGACTATGGTCACCACCAGCTGACTTTCTCTCACATCCTGTGGGAGGCTGTTTGCTATCAAAGGTTCTGGGCCATACCTGGGTGTGTTATATAAAGCAGAGCTTCACGTTCAGAGAGGGAAGGGAATTACTCTGACCCTGGAAAAATTGTTTGGCAATTTAACATTCAGAGAGAGACAAGCGAGTCTTCCAGCTATTGTGCAATTTGTCAGCAGGCCTCTTGGCACATGGAGATAAACCATCCTCTGCACTTTGGAATCACCATTAAAATATATATCACAATGCCCAGGGTCCTCTCCAACCCAGTTACACAAGAGTCTCAGGGAGGGCCTGGATCAACCTTTCCAGTAATTCTAATGAACAGGCAAAGTTGAAACAATCACCAGAGAAGGACCTGCGGAATCTACGAGGAGCAAAACTCTCCTAGGTCAAAGGGGCTCACTGTGTGCATGGGTCAGGCCTGTTTTCCCAGCTCCACCACCCTCTTATCCTTGAAGAAGAGTGTGTTGAACACACACTCTGACTTTTAATAATCCCTTTGTCTTAGATTAGCCGGGGCTGCCAGCTGGAGGGGAAGATTAGCTGTTCTGAGAGAGGCCATTGCTGGGTGGCCCTCATATGTTCTTTCCAAAAGGTCCTTCTCTGAATCAGAGGTCACTGCGAGCTCAAAGGGCAAAGAGCAAAGTGCCAGACCCGAGCAGGAAAGCACTGGCTTCTAGGTGTGTCACTAATTCCCCTTGCACTATGGATAGGAATGACAAATGTCATACCCATACTGTGTGTCTAAGTCTCTTTGTAAGAGAGAACTGGACTTGGTAGTCCCAGCTCATCTACAGTTGGTGAATGAGGTCAGGTACAGGGGGTTAGGAGGGGTTGCTGACTGAATGAGGGCAGGTACAGTTCAATCCAGACCTTCAAGATCTGAGGGTTTTTGAGATGAGGGTCTCCTGTGTGGCCCAAATTGGCCTTAACCTCATGGTCCTCCTGCCTCAGCCTCCTAAATAGCTGGGATTATTGGTGTGTGCCACCATGTTCAGTTGAGCACATTCAAGCAGTCTGAATTTTCACTGAACTAAATTATTTCTCCTCAACATTACCCCATCCCACATTTGATCAAACAACAACAACAACAAAACAAGTCATTTTTCTTTTCCCCATGGCCACTCAGATTTTTGCAGGACTGTGCTTGTCAGGATGCTGAACTCTGGAAACAACTCCTCTCTCTCTCTCTGCCCCCTGCCCCCTCCTTCTTTCTCTCTCTCTCTCTCCTTCCTGACCCTCCTCAGACTGCATTGGCAGACAGATTGCTCTTCCACACAAACTTTTCCGAGGTCAACCTGAGTCACTAAACGGGTTACCTTGGGCTATTCAGATTATTCCCTTTTTAGGATTCCCAAGACTCTTTTCAGGAACTTTTCTTGGGAATTTTTCATCTTTTGAGTATCATCAAACCAAATTAAAACCTCAATTTCATATACAGGATTATAAATTTATCAGGGATGGTGGGTCTTCTAATCTACCTAGCAGCTCCCCGAAATTGTAGAAAGGGGTGGAGCAAGCTGCGGGCTGCGGGCGGGCAGGCCAGGGCAGGGGACAACAGTGAGACTGAACCCCCTCCTTCCCTCACTCACTAGGGAAGATATAGGGGAGTTTGGAGTCAGCTGTCCTCTGTTCAGCCAATAAAATGAGACCATCACCGTGTGGCGGCCACCCCTAAACCTTGGGGGAAACCACAGATCCACACCAGTGCAAATATGGAAAGAGCCCCTGGCTACCGTCTTACCAGTATGCTGGGTGGGGTGCTCACATTGAGCTGCTTGGACTTCCCGACGTTCCCAGCCTCTCCCTTCATCTGGAAAGAGAAAGCACGGGTGAGCGGGTTTCCTTCCACATGCAACTAAGCAAAGGGGGAATGGAAGAAGTCAAGCCTGGCAGGGGATTTGGGGTAAAAATGGGAGTTCATAACCCACTTGAATCTAATGAATGAAATATGATATGTCAAGAGCTTTGTAATGTTTTGAACAACCAATAAAAAAAAAAAAAGCCTGGCAGGGGTTTTTATTTTTATTTATTTATTTATTTTGGTACAGGGGCTTGAACCAGGGGTGCTTGGTTATTGAGCCACATCCCCAGCTCTTTCTAGTTTTTATTTTTGAGACAGGTCTTGCTGAGGTTGACCTGAAACTTTGGATCCTCCTGCCTCAGCCTCCCGAGTTGCTGGGATTACAGGCATGCACCTGGCTAAACTGGCAGCTTTTGTCCCTGGAACCAGACAAATTATTCTAAAATTTATACAGAGAAATAAATAAGCAGGAAATAGCTAGAAAAATGCCAGAAAAGAACAAGAGTGGTACAAGGAAGGGCACAAAATACTAGATCTACCGACTGTAAAAACATAAAGCTTCTTTAGAAATGTGATTATTCTCTTGCTGGGTGTGGTGGCACATGCCTGTAATCCCATCAACTCAGGAGGCTGAGATGAGAGGATCATAAATTCAAGGTCAGCCTCTACAATTAAGTGAGGCCCTGAGCAACTTACAGTGTCTTGTGAGACCCTCGCTCAAAATAAAAAATAAAAAAGCTGGGATGTGGCTCAGTGGTAAAACACCCCTGGGTTCAATCCCCAGTATCATCAAAAAAAAGGAAGAAAGAAAGAAAAGAAAAGAAAGAAAGGAAAAAAATATATTCATTCTCTCATTTCTTGCAGTTAGTAAAGAGTTTTTGCTATAAAAGAACAGACTTGCTGGGCACTGTGGCACATGCCTGTAATCCCAGCTCCCTGGGAGGCTGAAGGAGGAGGATCTTGAGTTTAAAGCCAGCCTCAGCAATTTAGCAAGGCTGTAAGAAACTTAGTGAGACCTTGTCTCAAAATTTAAAAAATAAAATAAAAATAAAAAGGGCTGGGGATGTGGCTCATGGTTAGGTGCCCTGGGTTCAATTCCTCATATCCCCCCACAAAAAAAATTCCAGTGTTAAACTTAAAAGCTGATAAACACATCTTAAAAACTGATAACATCTCTACCAGATAGCCCATATGAGGCACTGTCCAATGTATATGCTGAATTAGATATTTCTTAATTCTGAACATACAGACATATTGAATAAAATTTTCCTCTGCTTTATTATTTTATATATCCCAGTCAACATGTACATATATAAACTCCTTTGGATTTTAGAAAAACTTTATTCTAAGTAGATTAGGTAGTACTTTGGTACTACAATTTTGGTCTAACTTTGGTAGAGGAAGATTATTTCATAAAAGTTTGTCAACAACATCCACAAAAATATGTCCCCTACTTTTATATGAGATGTTAGTCTGGTAACAGACTTTCTGGAATTTCCCGATAGACTTTCTAACGAAACTCTAGAGTAACATGTCTACGATGTACACCCAAGCCATATCTCAGAGATATTTTAAATAAAATTTTGAAAACTGGGAATGTTGCTCAGTGGTAAAGGACCCCTGGGTTCAGTTCCCAGTACTGAAAAAAAACCCAATTGCCCACCAAAACAAAGACCTTTTTCCAGGCTAGATTCTTCCATGGACTCCTATAATCCTGCGTGGGGCAGCTGAGGCACACCCTCATTCAGCCACTGCTACTCATAATAGCCAGGAACAAGCATGCGTCTGAGGATGGCTGAAGAGATAAGATTTGGTTATGCACATAGGATAGAATTTTATTTGGCCTTAAAAAAAGAAGCAAATGGGCGAGTGTTACGCAAGTCACAGTAAGTGAAATAAGTCACAAAAAGAGAAATACTGCATGAATCCACTTTCTGAGGTAAGGTACATAAGGTAGTCAAATTCATGGAATCAAAAAATTAAGTGGTGGTGACACGGGGTTTGGGTGGGGAGGGGAAATGTGGAATGGTTGTTGAATGCATATGAGCATCAGTTTTGCAAGATGATAAGATTCTGGAGATCAACAGATGTGAGCACATTTAGTGCTGCTGGACCAGACACTTAAAAATGGCCAAGATGGTGCCAGGCAGCAGAGGTGGTGCACACCTGTAATCCTAGAGATTTGGTAGGTTGAGGGAGGAGTTTCGTAAATTCAAGGTCAGCCTCAGTAGCTTGGCAAAAACTTGTTTCAAAATAAAATTAAAAATAGGGCTGGGGAAGTATCTCAGAGGTAGAGCGTATGCCTGGGTTAAATCCCTGATACCATAAATAAATAAATAAATAAATACTGACAATTAATTTTATGTTTTATACCACAGTTTGGGAAAAAAAGCTTTAATAATTAAAAGTGAAGTGCTAGTACTTATTTTGGTGGGGGGGTTATCAGGGATTGAACTCAGGGGCACTCGACCACTGAGCCACATCCCCAGCCCTATTTTATATTTCATTTAGAGACAGGGTCTCACTGAGCTGCTTAATGCCTCGCTTTTTTTTTTTTTTTCTTTTTTTTTTCCTGAGGCTGGCTTTGAACTTGTTATCTTCTTGCCTCAGCGCTGGGATTATAGGTTTATAGGCGTGCTCCACCGTGCCCCACTTTGTTAATTTTTGTATGTGGTGTAAGGAAGGGGTCATCTTCATTCTTTTGAATGTGAATATCCAGTTGTTCCCACTCCATTTGTTGAAAACCATTCTCTGTCATTGAATTGTGTCCGTGTCCACCCCTCTACCCCCCCCACCCCCATCACACTGAATTGAATTGTCATTGAAATGTCTATTGGCAACAAGAGTGTTTCTATGTGGTTGAAATGTGGGGCCATATGAATGTGTTAACTGGCCAAAACTTCCAATTCTAATTTTAAAAATTACGATTGATAATCAGAAGGCACTTTCTCCTCCATCATTCTGTCATCTTGGCAGACATCACCCAGCATCTGTCACCTGAGCCTGGACAAAGCTCACAGGCACAGCCACAGCCAGGGCAAGCATGTCAGTCCAGAGGAGGTGGCCCAGGTTAACCCTGTGGCACCCCTGGTGCTTAGGGTCATCAGGTGGCTGAAGAGGAGCATTACAGATCATCAGGGGTCAGGGATGACAGAGCCCAGACTAAGGGAGACCAGGTGAGCTCCCAGAGTCTATAGGTGACATGCCAGAGAGCCAGGATCAGGCCTAGCTTCCACGTGGGACTTCGTGCCCCTTATTTTCCTTTCTATAGGTATGTATTGTTCTTGGTTTTACTATTTCAGAGGCACAATGACCAGTTGTGACTATGGGGAATACTGCTCCCCTTGATCCACCATCCTTATTGACTGCTTAGTCTGGGGGAAATGGCAGAGAGAAGGGAAAGTAGCTTTCCAGTGTGTGAGGAGTTGGGACATCAGAAGGAGGCGCCAAGCAAGCTGAATTCCAAAGGTACATCCTGTCAGCCAAGAGGCTTCCAGGGGAGAACTCCTGAGCCCTCTAAACCCACTCAGGGAGGCAGCCTCTGACTCAGGAAAAGTCTCCGGATACTTGGTGTGTGGATCTGACTCCCACTTGGAGCCAGGACAATGGATTTCAGCCACGCCATAGGACAGGGCTCTGTCCCTACCCCTGAGCCTGCTCTCTCCTCCTACACCCTTCCACACCACTGCCTGGCTGACAGCAACCTGCTGTGGCTTGTCCATGTGCCGCATCTGCCCCAACAGGAGCTCTTACGAAAACCAACAAAAGAGAAGCAGTAGAGTGAAGCTGTGGCCTTGGCTCTCAGTTCTGCTGGGATGGCAGCTCCTCTGTGCACCTGCGCGCCATCCTGTTCTGCACCGCCTAAGCTTTCCAGAAGGATGGGCGTGAAGCATTTCACCATTCAGCTCCAACCTGCGGCAAACACTTCTCCACCACCGGGTTTATGAGGACTTGGAAGCATACTCCTTAAACAACAAATTTCTCTGATTTCCTTGTCCTGACAAGTTCCTAGGGCTTCATCCTGAGTTTGGCTCACATCCCCAGGTGGATAGGGGTCTGTCGGAGAAGCTACCCTTCCCATCAGGCTAGGATTCTGGGGTGAGGTGGTGCGATTTTTAATCTGGTGGTCTGCTTGCTATCTGGGGTCCTTGAAAACCGGGTGCCTTATGCACAAGGGAGATGGTGGTGCTAGGTTTTTTGAGGGGCTAAGCCAATCAAATGTTTTCAGACATGAAACAAATGTCAAAGGAAACGAAGTGGGGAAATAGTTGGAGATCTGAATGTCCTCAAACCATTTGCAGACAGGCAGAGCCTTCGTTATCTGCCGCAGTCTGGCTGGGCACAATCAGGAGCCACTTGTCAAAAGAAACTAACTTTATTTTTAGAACCACACACGCCAAACAAAATAGCCTCTCAGGAAAAACCCTCAGAGCCTCAACTGCCACCACCGGCTTTCCACAAGCCTCTCTCTCCCACACAAGCTTCTCTCCACCTCCCACAATCCTCCTGCTCTTGAGGCCGATTGGCTGGGTCACGTGGGCGGAGCCAAAAAAGTCCCCCAATGAGCAGCTCCGTGGTCTGAAAGGGCAGGGAAACAGCCCAATGAGCATCACCGCAGAGGAGCCAATCAGCTAGATGTTGCTGGGGCCGAGGAGCCAATCAGCTAGATGTTGCTGGGGCCGCTGTGAGCCAATCATCAGCCAGCAGCTGGAAGTTTGCTGGCAGCTGGAAGTTTGCTGGGGCCCCTTCGGCTGTGGCTCTCAACAGTTATCATCAGGGGTTTTCCTCATCCTGGCTTGTTAGAAAGTGTGAGAAGGACTGTTGACTCTCAAGTTAGCCATCTTGTTTGGGAAGGAAGCTGAGGGGGGTTTGGGTCTGTTTGTTTTTAACGTGTCCAGGACTCTGATGTCATGTCGCATGCCACAAGGAACTTCACTCTCTGACTCAGTCTCCTTGGGGCATCTGCCCTGTCTCATCAACCTCAGCATCTTTGCCAAGAGCTCTTGGGACATGGCCTTTGATCTTGGGGGACTCCTGATCCCCAGAAATGTATGTGCGTGGAGCTGGGGGAAGCCCTGGAGATGCACAGGTGAATGAGAAACTTGAGGTCTAGATGCACAAATCCACCATCCAAAAGTCTCTCTCAGAAGTACTGAGCTAGAGGTCAGGGCCACAGCTAGGAAATTTCTGAGTAAAACACAGACTTGGTACACCCAAGAAACTCTGAGAGGACAGTGTCCAGGCATTCTCCCTGCTCATGGATACACTGTAGTCCAACCCCAAATAAACCTTTTCCTCCCAGATTGATTCTAGCTTATCCAAGGAATGCTATTTTTACTCATTATATATATATATATCACACTGAGGATTGAACCCAGCGACATTTTACCACTGAGCTACATCTTCAGTCCTTTTTATTTTTATTTGAGACAGGGTCTTGCTGAGTTGCTGAATACCTCGCTAAGTTGCTGAAGCTGACCTAAACTTGCAGTCCTCCTGCCTCAGCTACTTCAGTTCCTGAGATGATAGTTGTGCATCACACATATATTTTTAAAAATATTTTTTAGTTGTTAATGGACTTTTACTTTATTTATTTATATGTGGTGTTGAGACTCAAACCCAGGGCCTCACACATGCTAGGCAAATGTTCTGCCACTGTTGTTCTGCTACAACCCCAGCCCAACACCTATATTTTTAAATCAAAATAGATGTAAGATTCAGATATATGAGTATCAAAACTGCTATTAAAGATAATCTTTATTTCATTACTGAGTTCCAGAGAAGCAGCTGTACAATTTTTATGAGGATGTAGATGATAAATTCCAATAAATAAATTAGTGCACATAAGTTCTTCTTTCTGAAAGAAGTGGAACACTTTCCTGTGGAGTGCAAAGTCAACTGGACAAATCATTTTTCCCTTCCTTTTTCCTTTTTCTACCAGTAAGCTCAGAGTTAAATTTAATGCTCCATTATACTTCTTGGGATTATTTTTCTGATACATACTCTTGTGTATTCATTCAACCAAATGAGAAAATAAGACAAATCAAAAACCAGAAATAAATCAAAATGACAGGGAATACAAATCGTATCTCAATAATAACTGTGAATGTTAATAGCCTAAATTCATCAATCAAAAGACGTAGACTGGCAGATTGGATTAAAAAACAAGATCTAGGGCTGGGGATGTGGCTCAAGCGGTAGCGCGCTCGCCTTGCATGCGTGCTGCCTGGGTTCGATCCTCAGCACCACATACAAACAAAGATGTTGTGTCCGCCGAGAACTAAAAAATAAATATTAAAAAATTCTCTCTCTCTCTCTCCCCTACTCTCTCTTTAAAAAATAAATAAATAAATAAATAAATAAATAAATAAAAAAACAAGATCTAACAATATGCTCTCTTCAAGAGACTCACCTCATGGGCAAAGACATCCACAGGCTGAAGATGAAAGGATGGGAAAAAACTTATCACTCATATGGATGAGTAAACAAGGAGTTTCCATTCTCATTTCAGATAAAGTAGACTTCAAACCAAAGTTAATCAGAAGAGACAAAAAAGGCCATTTCATACTTCTCAAGGGAAGTATATATAAGAAGGACATAAATTGTAAATATTTATGCCCCAAACAATGGAACATCTATGAACATCAAACAAACCCTTCTCAATTTGATCCTTCAAGAGTTAAATAGACCACAATACAATAATACTGGGTGACTTTAACACACCTTTCTCACTACTGGACAGATCTTCCAAACCAAAACTAAATAAGGAAACTATAGAACTAAATAATACAATCA